TATCACATAGGAGCAGTCTGAGATGCTGTAGCAATAGCAGTGCTTTGCAAAGGCAGAAATCACTGTAATTTGATTCAGTTGTATTCAGGAGGAAACCTGGACTCTGCTGTCGGAGGGTGAGGTTGCCTGGAACTCGCTTGCTCTTTAGAGTTCATTAGCTTCCCCCAGCGAGACAAAGCTCTCCCACCGCGGCCACCGAAATAGCCTTCTGCTCCCTATCTGCTCACAGAAAGCAACAGAAGGGTAAAAATAACAGGCCCTTTGAAAGCGTTTCTGTAAAGATGATGCATCTGAGAATAAATTTCTGCACAGTTGGACAAAGGAAAAAAGGGTAACACCATTTGCTAAAAAACCTGACAGCCGCCTGCTATTTTGGAGAGCGCTCCTCTAATTGCACACACCTGCTGTGGCAGGGTATATTCTAAAATATACCTCTCCAGCAACGCTGCCCCAGCCACATCCCCCAGGAGCAGCGCTGCAGTCCCAGCCCTCACAACATCACAAGAACTGGGGTTTCTTCCAAGACAACACTGGAATGGAAATTCAAATAAATTCAGTATGGGCTTCTTTCTTTGTTTCACCTCTGCTCATTCGAATTACATTACATTACTCTCCCTCCTCCTTGCCTCCAAATCCCCATCCTTTGACTACTTTTTGCTATTCCTTCTCTCCACCCAGCATCTTTGCCACCTTGACCTCCCCCACCTCAAGATTCAGGCTCGATTTCTCCCTGTTCGTTATTTTCCTGACTTCTGCAGCCGTGGATTCCTTCTCTTAACTCACTCTGCTCTTGTCACGCCTCCCTGTTTCACATGCCAGGCTCCAAAGCGAAGGCGGCCCTTTTGGAGCAGCCCTGTTTTGAGTGATACCAGTGCGATCGCCAATCCCCCCTGCTTCGCAGAGGGACTGGTGACTGTGCCAAACTCTGGCCACCTGCAGCAGCTCCTCCCTGCGCCCCTTGTGCTCTCTGCTCTCCTGCTCCCTCACCCTTCCCCTGCTCCCTGCGTGACTCCCGCCTGCCCCAGCCTCTCCACCAGCCTGTTACGAGCGAGCGCAGCTTGAATCAACGCCTGGAGCTCCTCGTATAAGAGACCAACAAAGGTGCCCTCAGAGGACTGGGTTCCTGCACCCAGGAACTAACTAACTCAAGGCAAACCCTTTAGCCTCTCTATGTCTCGGGTTGCCATCTGTAGCAGAGCATTTGTACTCCAGGATGACTTGAGAATTCTTGCCTTTAGAGTTTGACACGGTGGCGGTAAGGACTGAGCATGAGTTTCCAGCAGGTGTCCATGAGAACTGAGAAGCAGGAAATTCTGTATCTAATGTCCATATGGACATTTAGAAGCAGTCTCATTAAGCCCACAGTGATTTTTTTTCCCATTTCCAGCCTACTAGCTTGGCAGCTGTACCATGCATGTACTTCATGGGGCCACTCTTCCTTTCTGTGGCACTCTTCTCAGAAACAGTCTTGTCTCTCTTCCCACGTTTTCTTTAATTGCTGGCACTGGGGAAAATGGAAAGCAGGATGGCTGGGACCCAAGGGGAGGCAGCTCAGGCAGGAGGCTCTCTAGATCCTCTCACTCCCCAGGCCTATCTGGCAACAACCCAGGCAGACCTGGCAGCACCCACTTCTGAGCGATCAGCTTCTGCAAGCAGCTGGGGCTGCTGTGCTGGGTCAGCACCCACGATATCAGCCCGATATTTTAACTGCTGGGCAAGGCCTTCTCGTGTTGATTCTTTGCAGGGCAAGAGGACAAAGGGAACGAACACACACACACACACATACACACACCAGGAAACTCAGAGCGGAGGCAGGCAGCGGCCCAGCGCATCTCTGGTCGAGGGGACATAGCACGTCTTAGAAACTCAGAGGAGACTCTTCCAAGAGGAAGGAATGCTCTGGACTAGGGCAGCAGTGAAGGGCAGAGGGAAATCTTATATCCCTGTAACAAAACTTGGACACTTTATGATGCTCCAAAGATGCAAACATCTTACTGAAGCGATCTCCACTTGGCAGGTTTCCTGAAGACCTGCTTTACTGAAAACACATTCTCTGGCCTAGTCTCCACAGCATTTCTTGGTTGTGATAGCTCTCAAAGCTATCACCTCCTATCAACTCCAGCACTTCAGAGAGCGCTCCAGCTCCTCATAGATAGAGCCCACTTCAAAAGGAGAAAATCACAAAGAAAGGGACAGCAAATACAGCTTTAATCAGGCCTGCAACTGTCTATAGGTTAGAGAACTGATTGATAGTCTCCATGAACACCCCAAATTCTTATCAAGCTATCCCGATCTCCTTGAAGAGATTGACAGCACCTTCGATGAGTGAACAAAGTGATGGTGGGGGGGAGCAGGAGAATACACAGGGGAGATAAAGGTAACCAAGGAAAGGGGCCACAAAAAACCCTCGAAGTGAGGAGGAAAAGTGGGGAAAGAGAGAGAAATTGTCCGTAAGTCAAGATGAAAAGCTAGAGGAAAAAATACTGTGGATTACAGTGTAAATAAGGAGTCAGGATGGAAAGGAGGGATGCAGGAATTCCCAGGAAGTCCAAGTGGGAGAGAAGTGATGTAAAGAAAAGGGTTTATTCTGTGGTTAAAAAAAAAAAAAAAAAAAAAAAAACTTGTGTCAGAGTGACATCACTACCAAGTCTTGAACAAGAGTTACAGGAATCAAGGAAATGGCATCATGTTGAATGCTTGCTAAAGGTCAAGAAATGCTCTGTGAAGGCAGAGCAATTTAGCTTCCTCAAATATCAAAGTTATTAGCTACTACGCTAAGAAGATACAAAACAGCACTGAAGAGATAACCTGTACACACTCAGTGGCACTGCAAATCACTGAAAAGAAAGGAGAAGCAATGCCTGAAGAAACGAGCAGTGGGACACGCACCTCGAGGCTGTGGGTTCCAATTCTCCCCCGCGCAGCTTTGCCAAGTGCTGCCGGTGGGTGCCAAGAGGCAGCCCCAGTGTTACAGACAGCCCTGCGGGCCATGCCCGGCTGCGGCTCGTGTGACGGGGCCCTGCCTCGCTCCTGCCGGGATCCGCGCCGAGGCATCCTGCTCTCCCGCCCTGCGGCTGGGAAGGAGGGCCGAGCAGGAAGGGGTCGAGGCCCTCCACCGCCTTCCCAGAGGGGCCGCCGCTGGGCACCCAATTCAAAAAGCAAACCCACAATGTGAAAGAGCCCCAGCTGAAAATCCTGCTAACAGAACACCCTGCCACCGCCTCATTTAGCACGAGCAGCACAGTAAGGTTAAGGGATTGAGGGAATGTGGACAGGGAAAGGAAAAGGCTGCAGTGGCAAAGAGCAGAGCCATGCTCTCAGTGAAATGTTCCCATTAAAACATGGGCCAGGGGAAATGATGAGAGGGAAACGTCTCCTGCTGCTCGTGCTATGCCTGTACGGGCAGATTAAAGACCAAAGTATTGTATGCTGTGTATTGTGTAGATATTGTATACAGAATATTTTGTATATTGTGACTGGCCCCCAAGAGACTTAACTGAATGCAATGCCCTCCCCTTCCCCAGCTTCCCTCCAAACTCTCTACTGTTAAGAGGGCATTAGCAGCCAAACTGACAGGAATTATTTACAGCCCCGTCTCTCCACCATGAATTCTTTCCTCCAACATTCCCTAGCCCACCTGATACAACACTAAATTCAATGCACTGATAAGCACCAGCGCAGACTTTCCTATCTAAACGCATCACATCTTTGGGTCCAAGAGTGTAAAGACCGAAACAACAACAACAAAAGAATAAAGCACAGGAAGACTTCTTCCTGGGGCTCTGCAGATTTTCACTTTGTGGGTGGATGAGCTCACGGTAAGCACAAGGAATTAAAA